AATATAAAAAAACGGGGAAACGAGAAACACTATGAACCACATCAACAAACGACAACTACTGAACATCAGATTCCTGACTTAGGACAGGTGCAATTATTTCTAATTTCAATAAGCGATTCTTTTGATACCGCCCTAATCATTGCTTATTGTTTACCTGTAGAAGAGATAGTCTTACTCGTACTCGGTTTCCGAGTCCGACGGTTATTTTTAATCTCTATTGAATACCATAATTTAAATGATAAATTGGTGTTTAAATTACACACATTGTCGTTCGACTCTGTAAGAACACGTTTATGATTGTTAATTTGAGTCAAAAAGCCTTTGCTTTTACTACAAAAAGCAGTGTACATAGAGAAGAGAAACTTAAAAAGTGCAGAAGATACGCATGCTACCATTAGTCTGTCATGCAATATGACCATGAAGTCCATGTGTAAGGGGGATGACAGTATTGACATGAACCTTTTTAACAATATAGACAAATTGGTTTCATTATGTACAAATTTTGTATGCATTATTGCTATGGGGATTACTAATGAGATGAGCCCTCGTTGGTATATTTGTACAATACTAGACTTGAATGAAATATTCCCAGCACGGTCAAACCAGATATATTTTAAATCTATGGTGTTTCCTTCTTCTCTATGTACACTGCTTTTTGTAGTAAAAGCAAAGGCTTTTTGACTCAAATTAACAATCATAAACGTGTTCTTACAGAGTCGAACAACAATGTGTGTAATTTAAACACCAATTTATCATTTAAATTATGGTATTCAATAGAGATTAAAAATAACCGTCGGACTCAGAAACCGAGTACGAGTAAGACTATCTCTTCTACAGGTAAACAATAAGCAATGATTAGGGCGGTCTCAAAAGAATCGCTTATTGAAATTGGAAATAAGTGATATGAATACCAATGACTTTCCACCAGATACCAAATGACGTAAAAGTTTGCAAATACGGGTCACCGTACGGCCTTAACCATACTTAATTTTTGTATCGAAACAAGACTGTTTGTTAGGATGTAGCATGTTTATCTATTGTCATTCATAATATCAAATAATATTAGTAGATTTGTGTAACTAAGTCCTTATACATGTCATAATTGAATAAAGTAACATTCATTTTTAGTGAAAATTGTTTTAACGTTAATTAAACTCAAATCAAAAATTGTTTGCTAGCCCCTCTTTGTGATTAATGTAAGATAACTCTGGTTAATTTTCCCAACATTTTATCATGTTTGGGAGATAATATAATTCGGTTTTCATATATAGTCTTTTTTTTATATAAAAGTGCAAATATAGGTTCCAATGATAATTTCTCACTAAAGCATTTGACATAAGTTTGAAATTTCTGGAATGAAGTGGTGGTTATTGTGTTCTGTCTTTGTGTTTGTGCGTTTGTGTATCTTGTGTTGTGTTTGTGTTAGGGGTGTCACAACATACATGTATTTGTCTTTAGGGAATCAAGTAATGCAACAATATTAAGGCATTTTTTCTGCATCATTTGACGGTCTTGCACAGTCGTTGAGCTTGTTACTTGAATGTACATGTAACTAAAAATATTTTACAAAATATGAATGGTTATTTATATTGGAATTTAATCATTCTAAACGTTTCAAAACAAATAAATGAAATTATGAATATACATGAAAAAAATTGAGAATGGAAATGGGGAATGTTTCAAAGAGTAAACCACCCGACCAAAGAGCAGAAAACAGCCGAAGGCCACCCGCTGCAATTGTTTGCACCTGTCTTAAGTCAGGAATCTGATGTTCAGTAGTTGTCGTTTGTTGATATGGTTCATAGTGTTTCTCGTTTCCCCGTTTTTTATATTGATTAGACTGTTGGTTTTCCCGTTTGAATGATTTTACACTAGTAATTTTTGGGGCCATTTATAGCTTGCTGTTTGGTGTGAGCCAAGGCTCCGTGTTGAAGACCGTACTTTGACCTATAATGGTTTACTTTTATAAATTTTGACTTGGATAGAGAGTTGTCTCATTGGCACGCATACCACATCTTCTTATATCTATAAAATAAAAATAAAACAGAGGCCAGAGGTGGGGTTAAATATGTTTTGTGATATCTCAACCCTCCCCCTATACATCTAGCCAAAGTAGAATAAACAAACACACAGCAATACGTGTAGATTTGTGTAACTAAGTCCTTATACATGTCATAATTGAATAAAGTAACATTCATTTTTAGTGAAAATTGTTTTAACGTTAATTAAACTCAAATCAAATATTTGATATTATGAATGACAATAGATAAACATGCTACATCCTAACAAACAGTCTTGTTTCGATACAAAAATTAAGTATGGTTAAGGCCGTACGGTGACCCGTATTTGCAAACTTTTACGTCATTTGGTATCTGGTGGAAAGTAAAACTCAGTTTAAAAGAAGTCCAAGTCCGATGTCAGAATAAGTAACAAAAGAAACTAAGAAAAATGACAATGATACATATATTAACAAAGGACTACTAGCAGTTACTGACATGCCAGCTCCAGACCTCAATGTCTTTAATAAACCAATAATAAAATCTAAAATCTATTGAATTTTGTAATTTTCTAAAATTAAATAAAATAACTTTACGTAAATATAAAACTATGAGCCGGTTCAAGGGGGACAATACACGCATAAATTCAATATACTTTTGCGAATTGAACATAGCAAAAAGGGATGCCACTCTTGCATACAAATGACACATCAAAAGAATTAATTAACACACCATTCGTGCTCCACCTTCAATGAAGATTCTAAATTATCAATATAACCAACAGTTGTTAATCTATAGGATAGTGACAGCTAACGAATGCTAACCAACAATAAAGTATATGTGTTTGAAATTTTTTTAAATTTACTCAGAAATGTGCACGATCTACTTGACTTTGATAGCTCATAATTAACGTGTTTACACATTAATATAATATAGTCGTTAAAGATTATCTGCCTTTAATAGTATGAGACACAATACAGATCGTATGCTTACATCAACTTACATTTATACAGATTTGATTAAAGCCTGCACGTTTTGACATTGTTTATTATCTTCATCCGTCGGTTTTTTAATATAATCACAACTTTCTGTTAAGACATTTTGGATTGATAAAAAAGGAGGTGTGGTATGATTGCCAATAAGACAACTATCAACCAGGGTGGATGTGAGCAAATTATGTACAACCGTACAGCCTTTAACAATGTAAACAAAACATACCGTATAGTCGGCTATCAAACTTACCGACAAGAAACATGTGAAGTAATTCAGACGAGTAAACTAATGGCCTTAAAAATAAAAATAAAATATTTTACGAAAAACAAATATGACAACAGGAACCAACGACAACCACTGACATTAAACGTGTTCGCACATATAACAGTGTAAGAATTAAAACAACAATTATCGAAATATCATGAGTATGCTAAAAGTCAAAACCTCGTTATTTATCTAAACCTCAAATTTAGTCATAAATAATGAAAATGAATAATTGAAATTTATTGTGCTCACGTCATATAAATACTATTAATAACACCGGAAGTTATTTATGAAAAATTCATGTTAATAATCGATGTACACAATATAACTACATTTGATTTAGACTTGACAATAACGGTTGCAGAGTATATTTAATGACTCCGATTTTACGGTCTCAGTGTTATGAATGTAGATCTTCAACATATTTGTTCTGGCCTACAAACAAAACTTCAAGACATATATGAAACGGATACGTAATTTATAAGACTCTCACTTCGACCTTTCAGCTGGATTATTCCGAATCCTATTCTTCCTCTAAGAATAATAATTATTACAACATTAACAGTATTAATACTTAATAAATACAAAAATAATAAAGATTATATTAAAATTTTTCAATGAAAAAATTGTTATAATTAGAGCAATATTAGAGCCCTAACGCCTTGACTATGTACTATGCTAGGGTCGATCATACGCGGAACTATTATGCTCATGAGAGTTTTAAAACTGCATAGTATATTACATCTATATTTGTTATGAAACCTTAAATTACTTTTAGTTACAAAACTACTACTTCAAACATGAATTGTTCTTTTATCATAACTATGGCAAGTCGTTTTTATCTTTTTTTTTATATGATTTTGAAATATCTTAATTTTAAGTATAATGGATATCTTTTTTTAATGATATATCTTATTTGATTTGAATGTAATTGTTATATTTTGTACAATATATATCTTTGTATAAAAGATAGTTTATAAACTTTAAAATATATCTTTTATACTAAATAAGATATCTCATAATTGTTAAGATATTTTTTAACAAACCCTTCATTAGATATCATGTACAATTTATACAATTTCTTTTAAAGTATATAAGATACAAAGTATATATGATATCTTTAAAAGTATATAAGATATCTTTAAAAGTATGCATGATATTTTATTATATACTGTAGCTGTGCTATTTGCGCAGTCAAATTGCATTGACCGTATAAACACTTGTGATATACAGTTACTGACCGTATATCGCCTTGTTTATGACGTTGACAATGCGTTTCCGTAGTGTTGTATTTATGACGTCAATAAAATATACAGGTTCGCGGAAAATTTACGTCGTCCGCTCCAAATTTAAAAATGATGGTTTTTACCGTAATCTTTTTATTTGGAACAGTAATAGGAGTTGCAGTATATAAACAATAATCATACATTGTCTCGAAATATTAATTTTATTTATACTCGGCAAAGCCTCGCTTTCTGCCTGTTTCTAAGCCTTGTACAAATAAAGTGTATGTTTCGAGACAATGTATGGTTATTCTATATATGTTTATAAGATATCTTGTTGCTTTTTGACATATCTTGACAATTGAATAAGAAAGAAAAACGACTTGCCATGAAAGTTAAATACATAATACGCTGTTAGTTAATATTAATGATTTTTGAAATATTAAAATAATCCTCCTTTTACAATTTTGTTTCATGTACACGCTTTTTTCTTCACCTTCGTTATCAAAAGGAGATTACTGACCTGTTTCTATAACCAACATCAAAATCAGAAACGTTTTTGACCATATCTCTCCAGCCATTTTGAATTAAAAATCATTTCCCGTTGTTTTAAAAAATACGGAAACATTTATTAGAATGTTAAAAAGAACAATAGTGAATGAAAAAAATGTATTGATAGACTAAATTAACATGATTAGGGAAACGCATTTACATGTTAATTATATTAGAAATTTATAAACTATTCATATTTTAAGGGGAACATTGACCAGTTTTATTTCAATTATAGAAAACCAGAAGTTGTCATTAACATGGTAAATACCATTGTAAGAACAGTAACATAAGTGTTTCCCATTTACTTAAAGGAAATTGATGTTTTCATCACATTTCAATGCAATAAGAACTCTGTGTAATCCCAATTTTAATTCTTTGTGTTCACGTTAAACTGGTTTTATCCTATCACATGTTGTGCCTTGAGCACGTCAAACAATCCTGACTGTGTTTTTTTGTTGTTGTTGTATGTGGTTTTTTTTTTTTTGTCTTTTTTTGTTTCTGGTTGGGGATGTGGGCAGGGAGAAACATAACAAAACTTTGAATATGTATCTTCAACATCTAACAATGAAAAATTTAAATACTGTAAACCTTATGTCGGAAACCAAAACCTTTCTTTACTGACTGCTTTTCAAACAACCTTTATTGAACTGTTAAGCACATGCATCAGCTTTATTTGTACAATATTATAAAAGAGAAAACAAACATAAGTTGACTCTCATGTTGGTATTTGTCACTTGTAGTATTTGCTATATTTATATACTAGTTACGGATTATGCAGATTTTTTTTTGGAACGACCTTTTTTCATTCTGTACACAATATCAAATGAATTGGCATTTTCGAATTTCTTGTTCAAATAAACAATATAGTTAATAAATTTGGAAAATATTGAAGAACATAAATGATTAACCTTACTTTTCTTATTCAATAATTTTAAATGATGTTATTGCGATTAAAGTAAGCTCTGAAAAAATATTCAAATGCAATAGCTGGATTTTACAAGGTAGGTCGACCAGGACTGAGGACAGGAAATTTTCATCATCAATTTAGGATATTTTGTTTGGGGGAGGGAGGAAGATCCATACGAAAGGCGACATATATCCATTCAGAAAGTTGTTGTCTTTGTTCTTAGACGTAGATGGTGTTTTGACTCGCCCAACATAAGACCTCAGATTATTCTTTTTTTTTTGTTCTCCGAACGGACGTGGATGTGTATTTATACGTCCCATAATGCCAAGCGAACATCCAAGTAGAAAGAGTTTTAAGTGATTCGTATCATTGTAAGTATTGATAGCTTTAAAATAATGTTATACCTGTAGTACGTGGTATAGCCTCTAGAAATAGCTATTTATCATTCTTAACAAGACTTCACATTCCGCTATATAGATGATGTCATCGTAATAAAAAATTTAAAGTTTGGTGACTATGTTGAACACATTTGTCCCATTAAACTTCAAATATTGAATACAAACAGATACAGCTAAGTCTGCTCCATATTTTGAATTACATATAGAAATTGATAATGAGGATCGACTGCGATCAAAGCTATATGACAAAAAGATGATTTCAGCTTCTCAGTTGTGAAATATCAATTTTTATGTAACAACATTCCAGCATGGCCTTCATATGGAGTATATATCGCCAAGTTGATACGATATTTACTATCATGATTTTCTTGATGGATGCTGCTGATAGGGCATCTAAACCATGATTTCCAAGTTCAAGTGCTCATTGAAGTATGATCTCCTTATAATTCCGGAACACCTAAGACCACTCCCATTTATTGATGGGGTTCGCGTTGCTCATGTTCCCACGGCGTCGGCAGTTTCTTTTCGACTTATCAATGCGAAAATTCATTTGGTATCTTCCGCTACCTTTTTTCATATATTGGAAGGATAAACATACGGGTTATGTTATAGATAATGCATATTTGAAGGTTATTCTTGAAGTATTACACACCACCGAGGGACGTCAGGATTGGTCAAATGAAAGACTGACCGTCGGGAGGTTTTTCTTTGGGCAATCCTAACACCCCGAGGTGTGTTATACGACAAGAAAAACTTTAAAATATGCATTATCTGACTTATATACCGTAAACAAATATTATATCTGCAAAGATCTGCAGTATTTTCATCCTATTGTACAGACCACATTAAAGTGGGTTAATCTTTTCTGATGTGTTCAGGTTTTTATACGCCTTACGGCACATTTATAATGTGAAATAAAACTAACTAATTAATCTAGATATATGATCTTTAAAAATCATTGTCCATTTTCAATAGAAATATTACTGTAACTGCACGAAGCAAGACACAAATGAATTGTTATGGTGTATGAAAAATAAAAGTAATTTAATAAGTAATTATTCATTGTATCAACTTTGTTTATGAAAAAGGGATGCTATGTTGTTTCTTTGTTGTTGCTTATTTTCATGACATCCTTATCGTGGAAAAGCAGATTATTTTTTCAACAAATTTTTAAACGAAAAATTCAGAGTGATTGTTTTCTCTCTTTTGTCTTGCAATACAACTTTTTTATATATATAAAACTCAGAATCAAGAATACATAGTATATATACCCCCTTATTTTAAAGTACGTGGGCGTTCTTTCATAGAAAATAGGAATATTGGGTCATTTGTAAAAGGTATATAAAGATGTAGAAAAAAAGAACTGGCATGAAGAGAGCACACATTCGTGATCAAGTACATGTAACACGAAAAACAAATATCCATAGGTCAAAGTATTATTTCCAATAAATGTAAAAAAAATAAAATTTTCCAAATCCTACACACGAATGTGTTACATCTAACTTGTTTTAAAGTGTTATGAAATGTTTTGCATTATTAAATTCATCTCATATAATGTCCCTTTATTGTAGCGATAAATTAACAAAACTAAACATTATATTTCTTCGCAAGATAAAACGTGCGCCAACAACGATTTTTGGTATTTCAGTCCAATAAACAGAGGAAAGGATTGTTTCTGCCTTAAACCTGCGAAATATGGAAAATTAAAAAAGTAAACCCTCAATTTGCAACAACAAACGATAGCTATCAAACGAATTAATTTTTTAGTAAATTGAAGTTTGCATTTGATCAGGACAATAATGACATTATACAGTTCATTATCTTATGACTTGTAGCAAATTTCATTGAAACTTGGTATCGTCCGGGTTGATTCTTCAAAAGAATGACTTGTCGTTCTGAAAGAAAATAACTCCATGGGTTTGTACTTGATTTTCATATAATGGAGACATAAACTTTCAATCAGTTTGATCGAGGTCTGGAGCTGGCATGTCATTTACATTACTGCTAGTAGTCCTTCGTTAATTAATGTTAATTATTGTCATTTTGCTTAGTTTCTTCTGTTACTAACATCGGACTCAGACTTCTTTTAAACTGCATTTTACTTTGCGTATTGCTGTGTGATTGTTTATTTCCACATTGGCTAGAGGTATGGAAGGAGGGTTGAGATATCACAAAACATGTGTATCCCCGCCGCATTTTTGCGCTTGTCTCATGTCAGGAACCTATGGCCTTTGCTAGTCTTGTATGTCTTTTTTAAAATTTTGGTTCATTTATATTTTGCGGAGTTTAGTGTGACGTCCATTTTCGCTGAACTACAGTAGTATACATTATTGTTAAGTAGGTCTGTTTTCTGCAATATGGTCGGGTTGTTGTCTCTTTGGCGCATTCCACATTTCCAGTCTCACAACTTTATCATACGATTCAAAATAGACAGCTGTTAGCTTGAGAGATTCGTCTATTTGTATGAAGACTCAACTCTCAATGCTGGCTTTGGTTAGTGAAATTACAAAACAGTACGCGTAAGAATGTACGATAAGAAAGAGTGCAGAAAAGAACTTAACTGCATAAACCGACATCACAAATATAATTATACGTTATTATGAGACGTTCATATTGTTGAGAAAAATTAAAGAATAAGGATTTCTATCAGCTAAACACGTATCATCAGAGAATGTCTGAAAATCAGCTAAAAAATTCGAACTATCATACACTTTTATAAGGACAACTGCACTTAACATATGAAACAACAACTTATTTAATCCACGACAGTAATGTGCAATCCAAATGTACATGTTTTGGAATTCAGACCGAACAAAAATAAGAAATAAAAAAAAAAAAAACACATTTTATATAAAAATAAGAAGATGTGGTATGATCGCAAAATGAGACATCTATTCATCCAAGTTAAAACAAAAAGTAGATATAAGCACAAACAGTCATATAGTTATAGGCAACCGTACGGCGTTCAACAATGAGAAAAACCCATAAACTATAGTCGGCTGTAAAAGGCTCCGACATGAAAAATATGATACAATTCAATTTAGAAAACAAACGGCCTAATGTATAACTAAATAATTTACGATAAACAAATGTGACATGAACTAACGACAACCACTGAACTACAGGCTCCTAACTACGGACAGGCACATTGTTGAAGACGATGAGTTAAACATATAGGTCAGTACCCCTAAAATGCTAACTAGGGCTTTACAACAATTGTCGAATCATAATTGTTCATTGGAAAATTAATAGAAAAAACAGATTCCGTTTATGAGAATAATTTTTCAAACTGTGCTTTGAAAAATGAATAATAAAAAGCAGATTTCTGTTGAAAAAATAATATTTCAAAACTGTTCAAACCATACGTGTGATACATGGCTATACTTATGTATAGAGTTGAAATCTTATTTCATTAATTCTACATGTATGTACAAGTTATATTACGGATACAGACTAATTTTGTCTTTTTTATTTTGTCTTCAAGATATTAGACATAATTAACTAATGATTTGAGAAAAAATATAATAACAAACTATAATACATTATATTATGCGTACAGTTTGAAAAAAAAATCACTAGAATAATTAGACTTTTATAAATGTATGGCTTAAATTCATATTGTTTATTGATTAACTTTGCTTGAACACTGATGTTTTAAATTGATATATTGAAATTTAAAACATATTTAATGACGTGAAGGTACTAATATGAACATGACTACATTTTGTAAGTTAGACTAAATTA